ATGTCTTTGTATTTTGGGTATTCAGTACTTGGATGGATAAAAGAGCTCTGTAATCACCTGGAAGCTGCGGTGTGGATTTGGGAGTGATCCCACACACAATAAACACACACTTTCTAACTTTAAACTGTTAGAGAGATTATGTCCATCACAGTTGGATATTAACTAGAACAATATCAATATTTTTTAATAAATCATGAGTACAGCTGCTTGCTCCTCATCTGGAGAAGCAGAGGTGCTGCAAATGGGCTCGGGCAGGGTCTGAGTGTCCCAGAGTGAATCAACAACCCTGGAGAAATGAGGCCCCCAGAATGACACAGATTCCCCCTCCCATCGCTCTGCAGAGATCTGGTGAGGGTTCTCAGGAGGAATCCAAGGTGGGGCTGAGCTGGTACATTGAAATCCTGCCCAGAGCAGCTGCTGGGACAGGAGGAGATGCCTCATGGAGCTGCTGGGACAGATGTGAGCAGGTTCTGAGTGCCTGTTCCCCCAGCCAGGTGTAACACACTGCTCCCTGCCGAGGGGGAGAGGAAGGATGCTGAGGTCACTGCATGGCCAAACCTCATCTCTCCAGCCTCAAACACGAGAGCAGTTAACCCTGAAAAGTCCAGAGCCAGCAGCACTGGGCTCCTCTGCCAGGTGCAGCTGCTGAGCATCACTGCTCACGGCAGGAATGCGGGGTGTTCTTTACCCTGCTGCTCTTTCTGGATGACATTTTTCCCTTTCAGGCTGCGGGTACCCCTGAGTGTCCAGAACAGCATGCCAGAGGCTGCCGGCAGGCTGCAGAGGGAGTGGGTGTCCCTGCTGGAGAGGCACTGCCAGCCTGGCAGCGCTGCCCCCCTGCCCCTGCAGGGCTCTCAAGGATGCAGCTCCCCCGAAGCTGATTACGAGGAATTTGTTGTGCCTCCGGATGAGCAGGAAGAGGAGGGTCCCCACTTGGGTGGGAGATGTGCAAGGAGCAGCCTGAGCAAGCCTCCAGCCCTGCTGGCAGCCCCAGCAGCAGCTCTGCCACCCGCCACGGGCAGGGCTGAGGTGCCACCAGCCCCACCTGCCCTCCCGCAGCCCTGCAGCCTCCCTCCAGCAGCAAAGAGGACCAAAGCCTTCCACTGGGATGTCGTTCCTTGTGACAAGGTGAGGATGAAACTGAGAGCGGCTCTTAAAGGCAACAAACCCAAATTTTGCAGCCCGTGTGACATGGTTAGTGACGGGAATCCAGCTGTGCCACAAACGGCCTGGATGTCCCTCTCTGTGTTAGCACAGAACAAAGGGCCTCTGTTCTTCTGGCTTTTTGTTTACCCTCTGTCCCTGCTGTATTTTTAGATTCAAAAATCTCTCTGGGGATCGTGTGACCCATGCAAGAGAAAAATAGATGTCGGCAGGCTCTGTGAGCAGTTCCAGGTCCAGGACACAGCAGTGCTTTTGGGCAATGAGCCTCCAGTGAATCAGCACATCCTGCTGGACAGAAAAGTTGCACATAACTTCAGTGAGTGCATTAACAGGGGCTGTGTGCTCCTCTCTGGCTGAGCTCTGCCTGCGTTTGCTGTTTCTGCTTTCTGCCACTCCACAGCCAGTGATGGAGGTTGGGTGGAAATCCTCTTTTCATTCAGTGCTTCTCTCTTTGTAAAACCAGACCCCAGGGCTCAGCTGCTCCAGAGATAAACCCCCAAGCTGTGTTGTTTTTTTTTTTTTTTGTCCAAACCTGGCTGTACCATGGAGCAGTGATGCTGCTGTCTTAGGGCAGATGTGTAAAGTCATCCTCCACGCCTGTAAAATCAATTTAAGTCTCTGACTACGAAGATTTTTCCCATTTAGTGGGCTGCAAGGTGACCAGGAGCAGGTTGGGAGGCAGAACTTGGAGGGCTGAGCTGCAGTGGGGTCAAGGATCCCGTGCAGGGGGAGGTGGTTGGGGTGAGGAGCCTTTGGGGCAGCTCCAGGCAGGAATTCTTGGCTTCTCCCTGGCTCAGCATCCTGTTCTTGAGCACAACCCTCTGCTCTCCTCCTCCAGGGGGGATTCTGCCCAAAGCCTGACCTAGACCAGCCTTTCAGAGCAGCTCAACACCCAGTCCTGCTCTTCCTAATAAAATATTGTGAAGGTCTTTTAATTCCCTTGGTGAGAAGTGGTAGACATTAAAGGAGCAGCAGTAATTGTTCTTCAAAGAGCACTCTGATTTCTGTTACAAAGACGCCTTTCCAAAAAATTTCGATAACCAGGAGATGCTTTAAGATGGTTACATGTGTAAAGAATTTGGGGCAGTCAATTCTGAAGTTTTAATCTTGATGAAGATGAATAAGAAAAAATGTATTTTGGAGAGCGTGTAAAGTTTTAATTGGGACATGTAAATGGAGATAACTCAGAATTATTGCATCCCTTGACTAACAATTTGAATGGTTAAAAGGAACAGTGATGGCGAAGTGTTGTTGCAGATAAAAGAATCTTGTAATAGCACTTTTATCTGCTAAATTATTGCAGTTTCTTTGAGGAAATGTCTTTCTTTTGCTTTGCAAATAGCACAATTCCTCCTTTTGATCCTGTTCCTCTCACAGCGTTTTTCACTCAACATTCTACATCCCCTTCTTAATCTTATCCTCATCAGTGAGAGTTTTGGCATATCCTTATTATAATGGACATTACTCAGATCAAAAGTTAATTTGATCGTGTGAATTCTGATTAATCTTCCTGCAAGTGCTGCAAACCACAGTCCTTAAATTAATGAATAAAAAGATGAAGCTCCAAAATGCCAGTAGGTTAAAAATTCTGGAGATTTTGAGTGGAGTTGTGAACAGCAGAGGAAAATGAGAGTTCTGAGAGATCTCCACACTAAATTCAAGGCCAGTGAAGGAGGAAATACAAGTAAAAGCAAAGTTCTCAAATGGATTGTTGTTGAAAAATGAAAATCCTGCCACACAGGGAGCAGGTATCAGTAAGAGACAAGAAAATTATCCTCAGATTTGTTTTCCCTTGATGACTGCTATGTAAATTTAAAGAAAATATGAAGACTGAGTTTTTGCCTTATGATAGCAGCTGCTAAATATTTTACATTCTGGTTGTTTGGGGTTTTTTTGCTTTCTTTTTAAATTCTGCTAAGTATAGATGAGGTACTTTGGTGACTTCCCCTCCCTCAAGGATTTTCTTCCAAGTAACCCCAGGATCCTTTTTCTCCAGACATTTTCCTTAAGAGTTTCCGTATAAAACCAAGTGAGCTGAAGGACAAACTCTTCATCATCCACGAGGAGAGCGGTGGGCTCACAGATGAGCAGATTACAGCACTGAGGAGGTAATTTTGGGGAGAATTGTTTGGGTTTGTGCTCCTGGGCTGAGGTTTGGATCATTTGTCCTTGGTGCCCAGCTGGAGCAGGAATTGTTCTGTCTCTGCTCTGTGCAGAAAACTCACCATCCCATAATGTGAAGCTCAGAATTGCACACTAAAGCAGCACAGAATGTGAAAAATAGTAATGCTCAAACCTGAGGCATCAGGACTTAAAGATGTCTAAATCCTACTATTGGAGAGTGAAAAATGCTTAAAGTTAAAGCCAAAATTCCATTTTCAAGGCAGAGTGTCCCTCTCATGCATCCAGTGGAAGTGGTGGGATACCACTGGAAACTTCAAGAATGAATTTCATACAGAAACTTCTCCATGTCTGGATGATTTTATATCCTCATGGCTTTATAGCAAAGCACTCTGCATCTCTCTAAACTTATTTTTTTTTCAGAGAAATAAGAATCTTTTTCATTGTGCAAATTCCATTAGAGCTGCATTCATGTACAAAGATATTTATGGAATGCATTCACGTGTTTTTGTGCCTCCTTTCTCATGGCTCCCATTGTTTAATGCTTTAAGCTTTAAACCTTCCAGATAATCTGTTATTTCCATTTTCTATGCATAATGCAGCTAAAGAATATTATGGGGTATCAGACTTCTGATTAAATGAAGATATTTGCTTTCACCTTTTAAAATATGTTCTATGAATTTGCTTAAAAGCTCCAACTATTTTTAATGATGAGTAAACATCCTTTCATTGGCCAACAGCTAACATTTTTAAATGAAAATTCATTTTTTTCTTGGTAAAGTGGGCTGAAAGGATTATTACATTTTCATCTGCTACAATCTAGAGTTATTTCAAACCCCAGCAATTTTACAATGGAAATGTCATATTAATTATTGACAACAGTTAAATAAATCTTAGTGTTTAATGTGCTAAAATATTTGCTTTTTCCCCTCTTTGAGTAAATTCCCTGACTTTTACTGGAAATGTATAGCTCTGCCCATGAATGTTTAATCACTCTTGCTGCAAATTTAGAAGTTTGTTTTAAGAGAAAGAAAAGAGAGACCTGAATACTTATTTCAGCTGCTTTACACTGCTCACATGGGAGCTGTGACATGGATTCAGTTTTTCTGAAGCAATGCTGTGAATTCCCCCAGCGGTGGCTCCGACAGGCAGGAGGATCTCCAAAGGAAGGCAGCTGTGCTGCTGTGTTTGTTTTTCCAACTGGAGGCATGTTTGAAGACATCAATCTTCCAAAAATCTGCGGCCCTGGAGGCTGTTCTGTGACCTTGTGCAGAAGGGAGGGAGCTGTGGGTCTGTGTTTTGTGCTGTCACTGTTTCAGCAAGTCAAAAACCCTGTAAAAATCATGATAAAGAAGAGAAACCCCCCCCTGGGTTGGGGTTTTTGGGGTGTCTGTGCAGGGCCAGGAGGGACAGGATGATCCTTGTGGGTCCCTGCCAGCCCAGGATGTTCTGTGATAACAGAGATAAGAAAGGATCCAACCTCTTTGGAAATGAGGGCCTGCACTCCTCTGTCTCGTGGTTTCACCTTTTCTAAAATATTCTGTAATTCTAAATTCTCTGAATATCTGCAGGTGGACGTTCTGGATGTTTTCAAGCCTCATCTACACAGAATCATTTCCAGGTATCCAGAGGTGTCTGCAGATCACTTTTGCTTCCCATCTCACAGCTGGTTCAATGCCTCCAAAGGATAAGCATTAAAAATGAAACACATAAACCACACAAAATGTAGGAAATTCCATGGCAAGGAATGGCAGAATTATTTTATCAGAGTACAGAGTGAAGAGGACACCTAATTTTAGTTTTCTCTTTACAGATATTTGCCCACACCCAAAGATGCAGAAAGGTACCTGTCCTTCAGGGGGTCTTGCTCAGAACTGCACGTGGTTGACCAGTTTATGTTAGAGGTGAGGAATTTCAATATTAAAAGACACCACATCCTAGGACATTCTCCAAGCTAAAGCCACTGCTGTTTAAAACTTAAATTTCCAATCTCACCCAGAATCAGTATAAGAGGATTATTCTGATCAAGACTTGAGACAGGTGGATAACAAAAAGAGAACTATGGATCCCTTTGTGTCTCCAAGTCAGATTTCCTCCTCTTCCTACAGAGGAATGTGGATTTATCCTGACCTAAATCCACATTCCCAAAATCTAGAAGCCATAATCTATAAAATTATATGTATTTAACCATTTTTGCTTGCAAGAAAAAATTACAATTGATTTTAATAATGTCTGCACAAGAGCATACAGTGAATTTGCAGGTATGTGCCAGAGTGTGTCCACCGGGTTAAGGCCCAGAATAAAATGAATAAATGAGCACAGAAATTAGGCAAACAATGGCACAGCTGAATTGCTCAGTAAATGATGAAAGGAATATGCATGTTTTGGTATAAATGGGAGGTTTTATTGTGGTTCTGCTCAATCCTGTGCAGATGTGTAAAATCCCTCAGCTGGGGCGGAGGCTGGATCTGCTGCTCAGCGTCCGTGAGCTCCCTGAGAGCATCAGAGACCTGGAGCCTGTAAGTACAGAGCCTTCCTGGGGTGTTTGTGCTCAGCACCTGGCAGTTTGCTGAGAGAGCCCCAAATCCCCTCCGTGCAGATTTCAAGGCTGTGTAGTTTGGGAGGATTATTTTTGGTTTTTTTTTCCACTTGGATGTTTAATATCGTCTTTGTTCCACCAAGGTTCGAGATAATGGGCTTGGCAATAGAATAGACTTCCACAAAAGAGAGAGAAAAGAACAGGAAAAGGTCTTCAAAATTTTATTTGGAGTTATTAAACTTTCCTTCTTCTTTGGATAAGAGAGAAGTGAATTTCACCATTAAAATTCAATCCCATTCCTGGGGAGGTTCTGGCCCCATGAGCTGAAAGAATCAGTCTGAGGCACAGAGAAAGTTTATTTGACAAATCTCTAAGAGATTTATTATTTCCTGAAGACTGAAGGAGCTTTTCCCCCTAAGGATTACGGCTCTGGACTGGAATTTTTGGGAGGCAGAGCTCGGGTGCCTCTCTGCCTTTTTGCAGGATGACCTAAGGGTGGGGGGATAACACATGCCACACTCGTGACTGGATCCTTCTGCTCCAAGCCCTGCCTTACCTGCCAGGTTTTGTCCATGCTTTGATTCAAAACAAGCATTTCCACACCATGAAAATGTTTTGGAGGTTTTGCACTCCTCCTGCATGGGAATGAAAATAAAAATGTGCAAGTTCTGAGAGACCAAGTTGCTCTGCTTGGTGTGGCTGTGATTAAAGCCACAGTAAGGGTGAGGGAAGCTCGGAAGAGGAACAGATGGAAAGCACTGGGGAGATGCAGATTCCTGACCCTGCCTGCTGCAGTTGCACCTTTGCTGTCCTCCACTGAAGCCAAATATTGAATATTTGAAAGTTATTCTCTGCACTGTTTGCTTTGATGGATATTTAATGTTCACTGAAGAGCTAATTAGTGTCTAAGTACATTCTTATGCACGGTAACACCTGTTTTTAAACCCCAGAATATACACCTAAAATCCAAAGGGACAATGTGAATATTGGCTTCCAGCACCCTCTGGCCCTGAGCTGTGCTATAAATGTTTTAACAACAGCTTTCATTGCACCTATGTGCTTCATCCTCTCCCTGTTTTTTAATTTGTGTGTTGGTGACTGATGAAAAGAGGTGTGGTGCTAGAAAAATACAAATTTTTTTACTGGGAACAAAATCCCCTCCTGTGCCTATAGCCCTAGAAGGGAGGTGGCTTCCCTGGGAAAACTGAATTATACTGAGCTTGAGTACAGGAAATTATTATTCTTCCTTGTGGGGAAACTGTGCTGAGAATGTTGATAAGAGCATTGAGCTGGTGTAAATGGAAGGGAGGGAGGTGAAGGATGGAGCTCCAGGCTCTGCTTCCCCTGATCCCTGAAATTTGGGCGACCAAACAGCAGAACGCTTTTTGTGCGCAGGAGGCTGAAGTTGTTTTGGCAGGGCTGAAAGGATGTGACTCCCTTTGGGGTGGCTGTGCCAGCACAGCTTTGTCCTGGGGAGTTTGACCTTGCTGAAAATCCCCGTGGGGTTTGGACAGGGAGATGTCCTTGGGCAAGGAGGGGCTTCAGGTGGGGACAGCGAGGGTGGCACAGACACCAGGGATTTATCCCCATTTTCAGCCTGCCTGAGGGAAGGTTTGTGTGTTCCAGCTGATCACCCAGAACATCCAAGCCAGCAAGCAGCTGCAGTCCAGCCCCAAGTTTGCTGCTGTCTTGGAGTACATTTTAGCCATGGGGAACCACCTGAATGAAAAAGCTGGGAGGGAGGTGGCCAAAGGATTCCGACTGTCATCCCTGGCCAAAGTGAGTAAATATTTTCTTGTAATTAAAGTCATCCTACTCTAAGGTTTGTTAGCATTAATATGAACTCTCCCTGAGCGTGGAGAGAGGCAATAATTCCTAATGAGGAGCTCACATGTGACCACCTGCCCGGGGTTACAGGAGAACAAACTGAGCTGAGCACTGAATTTTCTCGTGCCTGTGCTCACAAGCTCTGTTCCTACTCCAGGCAGCAGCACTGGCTCTGTGCTGCTCCATACACTGTGCCTCTAATGAGGCACAACATCAAAATGCTGCCTGCCCTGATATTAAAATCCCTTGGCACGAGGAGCTGTCTGAGCTGCAGGCCTTGGTGAGACACCAGGTATGAACCAGGAATGTGTGTGAAGCAGCAAAATGGAAAGGAGAGGTTTAATTATGTTGTTTTCTATCCCAGATATACCTGGGATCTATCAGCATCTCTGCTGTTCCTTTTGCATGTTTTATTTATTTTTAAGGGCTGATAGCTCAGTCCTTATTAATAATAATTATAATAATTATTATTAATTATTATTAATAATAATTATTCTTATTGTTCTGCTCTGTTGAAGCTCTCTCTGCTGAGGGGCAGGGACAGGACATTCACCCTGCTCCACGCCCTCGTGGAACAGATCCTCTTACACCAGCCCGAGCTGGCCACGTTTCCTCAGGAGCTGACAGAATTTGAAGCTCTTCCTGATGGTGAGAGGAGGAAAAGAGGGGAAAAAAAAATCAACAAATAAAAAATTAAGTCCTTCAATTTCTGTGATTTTCACAGTATAAATGATATTATTATTATAAATGTCATTATCATGTTTTTCCCCCTCTCTCTTCCTTTCCAGCGTCCATGAAGGGCCTCAGTGCTGAAGTTGATGGTATGTAAATGTGGTTTCTACATTTAGGGGCGGATTTTCATGCACTGTGCAGTCATTTGGAACAGGTTTTCACTGCACCTCTGTAGTTTGTAAAGAGAGTTAAAGGTTCAAAACACTGAGGTGAAGCGTTGCCATGGAGATGCTTAACCTGCCATGTTATTGTGAAGAATTAAAAAAAGAAAAGAAATATTGAATTGTGTCCAGGTGGCTTAGAAATGTAAAAAATTGTAATGGCCATGGTAAATAGAGTTTATAATAAAAGTTAAGTGTACAAGTGCTCCATCACAGGGGTGGCTGGGAGAGTCTCTGGGAGATGGGAGTGGGAATGAAGCAGGAGAAACTTCCTGGAGCTCAATAACTTTGTGGAAACAAACTGGTTTCCTTCTCTGAAAAGCACTCGGGCACCAGTGAAGTTGACAGGAGGGACAGAACACGGTTGTTCAAATGGAAGATGGATTTTGTGAGGTGGATTTTGTGAGGGTGGATGTGTGAGGGTGGATTTTGTGAGGTGGATTTTGTGAGGTGAATTTTGTGAGGGTGGATGTGTGAGGGTGGATGTGTGAGGGTGGATTTTGTGAGGTGGATTTTGTGAAGTGGATTTTGTGGGGTGTATTTTGTGAGGGTGGATTTTTTGAGATGTATGCTCTCCCTGGGATCAGTTCTGCTCCATTGGCACCTTGGAGTTCATTGTCCCATTCCAGCTCCAGCCCATCAGTCCCACCCTGCTTGTTTTTCTCTCTCCAGCCCACGCTGTTTGTGCTCCTGGGCTGAGGTTTGGATCATTTGTCCTTGGTGCCCAGCTGGAGCAGGAATTGTTTTGTCTCTGCTCTGTGCACAGAGCTCAGCATCCCATAATGTGAATCCCAGACCCACAGACTAAAGCAGCTCAAAATGTGGAAAATATAAAGCCAAAACCTGAGGCATCATCAGGGCAGCCAGGTGGGATTGCCTGGGCTCTTTCCTCCGTGGATTCCTGCTGTGCCCAGGGCAGTCCCAGCAGGGCAGAGAGGGAGGAGATGCCCCAAAATCCAGGGAAGCAGCTTCTCTCAGCTCCTGGAGCTCCGTGCTGCAGGATCTGCCCAGCACGGGGCAGGGAGATGCCAGAGGAGCCCCCAGCGCCAAAGCTGTGCCCCCTGTCCCAGCTGCTCCCAGGGAAGCAGCCCAGTGCCAGCTGACAATAATTCTTATTTATTTCTTACTGTTCCACAGAGGATTTTTAAAATTCTTTTAGCTTTAAAGGAACCCAGAGCTTCCTACACCAAGGTGTGGGTTTGAAGGCTGTTATCACCATGGCTAATCCTAGTGCTCAGCCTGGGGAAGGTCAGATTTTTGGCTGCTGCATTACCACGCTCTTGACCTCTTCATTATCCTGCACTTGCTGGGATGTGCTCACATTTTTTCCCTGAGAAAATGCCTCTTTCAGGAGCTCTGCCTCCCACCAGAAACTTAATACTCCTAGATAAATGTATTGTAGGCCCACATTCTTTTATTTTTCTTGTGCCCTAAACTAGGCAATCGCTGCCCATTGGACACCTCTTCATGCTGGTGAAATTCTTCATTTTCTGTTCCTTTTGTTAGTTTTAAAAAAAGAACTGGAGAACCTTATCCAGTGCAGGAGGCTCCTCAAACCCAAAGCAAGCAAGGCAACACCCCAGGAGTCCCAGTTCTGCAAGGAACTAAAGGTAAATCAACCACAAGCTCCTTGTGGGCTGGAGTAAGGGAGGAGTAACCTGGGAGTTTGTGCTGACACCTGGGAATAAGGAGAATTTGAGGGAAAGTGGCTTTTTATTCCCTTCTGAGGGTGTCTCATTATAATTTGCAGTGTGGGAAGGGTTTTTAGGGTTTCTGCACCTCCTGTTTTCCCTTCCCAGGCAGGTGGATGAGGAGAAGGCAGCCCTTGAGAAGCACTTGGGGATAATAAGAATTTTAGAGAGAATTTGTAAGAATTTCTTCTGCCCTCAGGCAGAAGGGGGTTTAGAGAAGATCCAAGAATGATGGAATGGTTTGGAAGGGACGTTAAAGATCATCCTTAAGATCACCCCTGCAACACAGAATTATCCAATCCTTTAAATCATCAAACCATCATTAAACCATCAATTTGATTATCCATCAGTCATTTCCAATCCTTCAGGTTGGAAAAGCCCTTTAAAAGCACTGAATGCAAGGCCAGCAGAGCTAACTCGTGTCCCCAAATGCCACCTCCATTTCCTCTGAGCCCCTGCAGGGATGGGGGCTCCCCCTCTGCCCTGGGCAGCTGTGCCAGCCCT